GACAGACTTTGTTCAGGTCGGTGTAGTCAACGCACATTCGCCATGCGCCGTTTGACTTTTTAACCAAAACTGGGTTGGATAACAAAGTTGTGTACTTGATTTCCCTGATGAACCCGGCGGCGTGGAGCCTTTTGACCTCTTCATCAATCACCCTCTGGCGGTCGGGACCGAATTTCCTCTTTTTCTGGGCGACTGGCTTGGCTTTGGGGTCCACCGACAAACGGTGGCAGCAAACGTTTGGATTGATACCTGGCATGTCAGAGGGCTTCCATGCAAACAAATCTTTGTTTTCCTTGAGCAACTTGATTAACTTGCATTTCATCTCTGGGTCGATGGTGGCCCCGATGGTTGTTGTTTGATGATCCGCATCTCCTAAGACAAGGATATGTTGTAGCAGCTTCGGGCTATCGTCTGGTCTCCTCGCACTGTGGCGATTTTGTTGTCCCGGGCAACGAACTTCATTGCCAAGTGGGGATGTGAAATGCTTGCCTCGAAGGCAGCAAACATCCTTCTACCAAGAATGGCGTTGTACGCTGATGGGGTGTCGAGCACCAAAAACTGGATGTCTGCGGATCGTGAGGTGGGTGGTATTCCAAGGGAAAGCCGTAAGGTAATCACTCCCAGTGGCTTTGTGGTGGTAGCGTTGAAACCTGAGAGTTCACCTGTAACAGGAGTTAGACTATCAACAGTGAACCCTAACGCTTTAAAGCATGGTAAAAACAAAATATCGGCTGAGCTGCCGTGGTCAATAAAAACGCGATTAACGCCGAAGTTGGCGATTATAGCTTGAATGACGAGCGGATCGTCATGTCCTGGGAGGACATCGCCTAAATCACTGGCGTCCCAAACAATTTGAGGCCTTGTTGGATTAGGACTGTGCTTTTCTTTGCTGATCACTTTGCCAGCGACCACCAGACACTGCTTTAAGTGTTTCTTTCTGGCGTTCGCTGTCTCTCCTCCTCCGCTCAGCCCACCTGAAATCATGTTGATCACTCCGTGCTTCACCGCGGCTGAATCTTCGTCTACTTCTTCACGCCTTCCTCTACGGTTTGGACTTGCTTGCGCTCTATGATTCCTGGGGGAATCTTCTCTCCTGTCACGATTGTAGGAGGGTCTGGATCCGGGCTGACGCGTTCTCCTTCTTTCAGGCGATTTGCTGCGCTCTCGATATCGCCTTCCTGCTCCCGAAGGGCGTGATCCGTCCCCTCCTCGCCTCTGCGCTCCGCTTTTGATGAGTTCATTGATTTCGTCTTTGAGGTGCCTGCATTGGTCAGTGTTATGACCGTTGCTGCGATGGAACTTGCAGTACATGATGTTTTCTTTAGGCGGGTTCTGGGACTGTTGGGTGTTCTTGGATTCTTCCTTATACTCCGTTTGCAGGACGGCGTGTGTCTGACGACCTGATGTATCACGCCCGGGAGGGCGGTTTGAATATTTGGCTGGTTTATTTGCTTTCTTGCTCTCTTCCATTTGGATCTTTTGTTTACCGAGTGCCTTTTCTTGACCGTGGGTGTCCTCGACTCGACTTCCTTTGTACTCTTCGATTCGCATGTACTCCTGGGCCACCCTCTTGACTTCTTCCAGGTCAGTGATCTCGTGGCGGGCGAGCTCGTACGCGAACGCACCTTGCCGCAAACCCGAAAGAAGTATATGTACCTGTACTTTTGGGTCTAGGCCTTGCACTTGTAGGGCCTCCTTATCAAAGCGGTCTAAAAAGGACCTGAGGGACTCGCCTTGCTGTTGGCGTACTTTTTCTAGAGAGTGGACGGATTTCGGCACAGGGCGACTGGTTGCAAAATGAGACTGAAACTTGCTCGCCAACTCATCCCATGAAGCGATACTACCAGTCGGTAGAGTAGTGTACCATGTTAAGGCTCGTCCCCCAAGTAGCGTGGGGAAGGTCCTGCACATGAGGAGGTCGGTTTCACCATGGAGAGTCATGGCCACCTCGAACTTCTGGATCCATTCAAAAGGATCGGCATCTCCGACATATGTGGTGATATTGGAGGGTCCTTTGAAACCAAGGGGTATGGGAGTCAACCGGAGGATATCAGTCAGGGGTTTCTTGCGCCCTGACGTATGAGCTGGCGTGACTCGTAGGTTGTTGTTTCGGGGGGGTCCACTTGCGGTTGTGGAGCTTCAACGGAGTATGAGAGGGCTGGGGCGTGATTGAGAGGTTGTTTGGCGACATATGGTTGCTGACCCTAGTATTGGTAGGATCCTTGGTGTAGTGGAACGGCCGGGTTTTGGGGTTGGGCAGCGTAACCTTGGAAAGGAAAATCAGTTGGGTAAAGCTGAGGGAATGGGGCGTATGGTCCCATAGGGAACGGGGTGACCATCGGTGCTCGGTAATCGTGGTGCATGGCTACTGGTAGACTTTGGGCTGGTAGCGGACGATGGGCTCGTGGGACTGGAATGACTGGTGGGACAAAAGTGTGAAGAGGCATTCCAAAACGAACTCCTGGTGGCAGAGGTTGGTCTTGTATCAAGTTTTCTCCTTGCATTTCACGCATAGGTGCGTGATAGTTCAACTGTGCAATCCTGGGTTCGACTGCTTGCATTTGTGGACCGACGGACTGTAGTACTGGCTGGAGCATCTCGCCGGGGGGTCTCTCGGCTGGGGCTGAATGCATCGGTGGCGGGGAGTTTGGATGTATTGTTTGTACATGACCGTCAGGTGTAACAGCCCTGGTTTGTTCTGCTCTTCTGGTTGTGACGACCATGTTTGCTACCAAAACGTAAAACACGTCTTGTGGATCTTTGGTAGGAGAAAGGGAATAGAAGTTTATAGTTTCCCACAGACGGCGCCAATGTACCGTTAGGTTCTGTGAGCCCACTATGTACCCTATAGGGTAATGTTGCTATATGGATTATACCACTAGGCGAGGTAAAGACCAAACTAGTGGGTATAGTTCCAAGAGGCAAGCAAGCTAATAGTAATGGCAGATTAATAACAAGAGAATGACTTGGAAGTAAATGGGCATAACAACAGTACATAAAAGATACCTCTAAGGTGTGCCCAGGAGGGCTATTTATAAGGGAAATGGAGCGGGTTGGTGAGGGAGAGGTCAACTCTCCTTGGATTTACTCTCATGGTGCAGTGTTAGGCGTGCTGGCGTTGTCATTGTGGCAGTGCTGCGCCCTCTGCACTCTGGCAGTGTCAGCGCCGGGCAAAGGGGGAGTTTCCCTTTGTGGTTTCTGTCGTAGTCGCCTTCAACGGTTAGCGTTCCAAGATGGGACATTTTGGTGTATGCCTTGGGCCTGCTGCTACGTTGGGGGTTGAGGGGGTCCATGTCAGCCCTAAGGGCTGACGTGGGGCAAGGCTGAGGCTGGGCTTGAGTGATTGGGCCAACTGAGGGTTGGGCCTGTGTAGTTGGGCCGCCCCAGTATTTGGGCCATCCAGAACAAGTTCTATTACTATACCAGAGCCCAATTATGAATGGACTGAAGATTATGAGCTGGGATGTGCTTTCTTCTGTTGAGGATATCCTTCCCAAAGTTACTTCTGTAATTAGGAACAATGCGCTGGCTATGGTCTCTATTCTTGGCGCCTCTGTCTTGTTATTGTTATTTGGTTCACTTTGCTATTACTTCGTAGCTCGCATGTCCAAGGGAACTTCTCAAAACAATGGCTCTGCGTGTAAATTGTCATCGGATAGTTCTAGTACTTGTAGAATCTTTACATTCCAAGAGGTTCAAGAGGCAACCAACAATTTTCAAGAGGATTTGCTTATTGGGACTGGTGGGTTTGGGAAGGTCTACAAGGGAAAACTTGAAAATGGGACAAGAGTAGCCGTTAAGAGAGCTAGCCCTGAGTCAAGACAAGGTGTGGATGAGTTCCAAAATGAGATTGATTTGTTATCTAAACTTCACCACCGCCATATTGTGTCTCTACTTGGCTACTGCCATGAAGGGATGGAAATGATTCTTGTATATGAGTACATCATGGCCAATGGAACTTTGAGCAAATGTCTTTATGTACCAAATGTGGCCCCACTCTCTTGGAAGCAGCGACTTGAAATTTGCATTGGAGCTGCAAGAGGGCTTCATCATCTTCACACTAGTACTGATCAAGGCATAATCCATAGAGATGTGAAAACTGACAACATTCTCTTGGATGATAACTTTGTTGCCAAAGTTACCGACCTTGGCATCTCAAAGAAAGGGTCTTCTCTTTATAAGAGCCATGTGACCACTTTTGTGAAGGGCACTTATGGTTACATAGATCCTGAGTATTTCAGAAATGGTCACCTAACTGAAAAATCAGATGTGTATTCTTTTGGAGTGGTTCTGATAGAAGCCATCTGTGGTAGGCCTGCTTTAGATCATGGTCTTACATCAGATAGAATTAATGTAGCAGTTTGGGCATTAAATTCTGAAGCAAATGGTCAGTTAAATCAGATAATAGACCCAAATCTAATTGGAAATTTTAGACTTTCTTCTCTTAAAAAGGTCTGGGAGGTGGCTAAAAGGTGCCTGGCAGAACATGCGACCAATAGACCACCAATGAGTTATGTCCTGTATAGTTTAGAAGATGCTCTCCACTTGGAACTCAGAAATATAGATGATGAGGAAAATTCATTCTCAAATTGCACTATGCAAGGTAGTGCCAGAAGTGAAACTGAAGTAGATGCCATCTCACCATTAACTATCTTTGAATCACTATAAGGTACATAAGTTTACCTTCATAGGAAATTTGATGAGTTTTATGGCTGCTTCTTACACTCTGGATTAGCAGGGAACATGCACTGCCTTCTTCTCATAATTTTACTTGATAAAGCTCATGCTTGTTTCGTTTTATAAGTTTATGCAGTAAGCAATAGCAACCATGATAACTTTTCGCTTGCCACATCCAAATCTCTTCAATTTTTAACTGGCTTCGATATTGCTAAGCTTTTATTTTCTTTCTTCAGTACATTCTATTTATCTAGCATTCTTTTTATTACAGTTGATTAGGTTCTATGATATAGTTAAATATGCAAGATGAGACTGGTTTGATAAGGCTACATGCATATACTATACGAAGTTACCATGCCCAAGGAGATCTAAATATTTCTGGTTTCTTTAAATATTCCTGGTGGATACAAGGAAGTGTCCTTGATAAGTCAAGGATATGAACATCTTTGACCGCTTCTAGTAGAGCTGGCAAAATGGGCCGAGCCCGCCGGGGCGGGACGGGTTGAGTTTCTCAAACCCGTTGCCCGCCAAGCTCGACAGCTCCCTGAGCTGATTTTTTTTATTTTTTTTATTTTTAGTGTAAAATGTCACGAGCTTGGCGGGCAGTCCGTTTCGCCACCTTTAGCTTCTAGCCGATAAGCTTTACCAGATTTCCAAACAGGACCTTCCAATGTGAACTCTGGGTTTACTTGAGGACCCTTTTTTATAGCACCAAACAGTTCTACAATCCAACTCTTAATCTCATCCAGAGACTCTCTATTATTTATTAGCATATCATTAAAATCATACCACCGTATATTGGTTTTAATCCTACTCCTGATCCTGACTAGCTTCACGAGAACAAATAATCTGTTTCAAAGTAGTGCACAATTCTTTTATGGTCAACACAATCCTCTTACGCAATTCACACTTAAATATTGACCAAATTATGGCCCTTAAATAATTAACCACATTCCTTTCATCAATCGCCTTGACTGTTCCTAATTAGGAAGGACTAAGCGTGCTAAATTATTATTAATAAATTATTATCATTATTATTATAAGAATTTGCTGAACATTAATTATAGGAAAGTGTTTAGTATTAACTATAGAGGATGGGAAGAGGCTGCCACGCGATTATGCTGAAAATGTGTTAGTGTAATATTTATTTAATGGGTTATATTTATTTCATGTTGCATAAGAAAAGTCAATTCTCTACGTACATAAAAGAGGGGTGAGTCTCACCTCTATTTTTTCTCCCTCCTCTTATCTGTGGATGTCACTTTTAATTTTGTTTTTACTACATAAGATAACTTTTTTTTCTACTAAGAAAATTATTTCCCTTATTTAATAGCTTAAAAGAGTTTTTAAAACATAAAAATGTTAAAAGAGAAATTGGATAGTGAAAAAAATTAAAGGATGATATAATAGGGAGCGGTTATATTTATTATCATTTTAGGCTTATTAATCTTAGTACCTGATTGGTTACCGTTAGATCAATTTGAAATTGAAGGTTAAAAAATGTGAAAAATTAACTTCCGTTGATTTCAAATTGATCCAACGGTAACTAGTTATGTTGTAAAAATAATAAGTTTAAAATAATAGTAAATATAATCTTTCCCGATATGATATAATCAATATTTTTATGGAAAAAATGTGTGTCATTTTAAAGGATGTAAAGTTGTATTATTTTAAGTAAGAGAAAGAGATAGATCATAGGGGAGAGAGTGAATAAAAAAATAAAGGTGTGGGTCCCACCTTTTTGTGAGAGTAAAATGACATAAATTGTATCATTTAAAAGAACAAATATTTTTTCCTATTTATATATAATGTTAATAGTTATTACTTCATTAATTATTAAGTATATTTTATTCAGAATAATTTTACAATTGATTTGATAACTAATAGTGTTATTAAACACTTGTCAAGGGACAAACAGACTGTTTGGTATGGAAATTCTTTTTGAAATGCGGGAAAAGTGGGGTAGGGAAATTTGTTTTACCATCTCATAATACTTTTTTCCCGTCATCCCCGTTTTTAATTATACATGAAAAAAAAATCTCATCCATCCATGGTATTATTTTGTTTTCCCCCACAAACTGGGAAATGCATTTTCATATTTTGAGATAAAAATATCCTTATGCAATATATTAGTATATACGTAAAAATGGGTATTTTTTTCATTTCGATTCAGATTCTCATCAATATTTTAAAATCAATCAAATATAGCATCACTAAAATCAACTCAACTTTTCCGAAAATTTTTGGTCTACCAACACCTTTTCGTAACTTATCCGGAAAAAAAATTTCTCACTATATTCCCATAAATCTTTTTTTTCCGGTAAAAAAAATATCTTCTTTACCAAGTACCCCCTTACTTCACGGGAAAAGCTGGTAAGTAGGGGTGACAAAATGGGTCGGCCCGCCCCCGACCCGCTGCCAACCCGCCAAAAGCGGGTTGGCCCGCCCCGCCCCGCCTCTTGAATTTGGGTTGAAATCCCCAACCCGCCCTGTTTTATGGTGGGTTGGCAGGTCAACCCGCTTAAAAAATAAAAAATAATTAAAAATAAATTATATTTTATTAATATTATAATATTATTTATTTTCATATCACATTTTTCTTAGTTTTTTTCAATCTTAAGTCTAAATGTATGCTAATATTTAGTCAGATATTCTTTACAAACATATTTTTATCTCCATACATAAATTACCTTTGTCATAAATAAAATTTTTCTTCTATATTTTTTTTTAGAGAGTACTAAGATAACAAAAAATTAGATATCACAAAAGCTTAAAAATAAATTAAACACTACCTAATAGTGAAAAAAAAATTCACCCGGCGGGCCAACCCGCCCCATTTTGACGGGTTGGGAGTTGACACGTCGGGTTCAATCCATATTGTCACCTCTACTGATAAGCATCCAGCCTAATAATGAGTAGTACAAGCATCTCATAACATTCGGTACGATCACAATCCCAAAAACAAAATAAATAAATAATTAATTAATTAATATTTCTTATATAGTAAGAGATGATTTTATCTCTTATACATACATAAAATATGAGACCCACATGAGGCCATGTAAAAAAAAAAGAGAAAAAAAAATATGGGTTTCACACAATTTTATATGTGCTAAGAGATAAAATTATTTCTTATAATACGAGAAATACTAACCCTAATAAATAAATATATAAATTACTACATGAAACAGACTCTTAATAATGAGCAGTACAAGTTGGATATTTAATCATCCATATATGGCCTCATGTTGGTATGACCATGCAGCCAAAACTTTTTTAACTAATTGAGAAGACGCTGGAAGTGGAGTATATTTTTTTGGTACCAGATAATTACTTGCTCTTTATTAAAAACAGAAAAAAAAAAATGAGACTTACGTAATAATAATTATAAAAGGAATAATAATTATAAAAAGATGGTTAAAATAAGAAAAGTTAGTTATATTAATTTTGTTCAGATTTAATAAAGGATGCAATCCTAAAGATATTTAAAACCGCAATGTTTGCAGCACTACTCTTAACCGCAATCTTAAGATTGAGTTTAATATACATGCAATTTCATTTAAAACCCTCACACACAATTTTCATTAAACTAGGATAGATCATTTATGGCGTTAAGGACTTACAAGATACTCTACTTAATTGTTAAATAAAATCGAGGCCAAGAATGGTGAGGGACATATTTAATATCAAATACTTAAGAGTACGAGAGAAAATTTGGAGGACAGTACAACTGATTTTATGATAAAGAAATCTCACAAGACCATAAACAAAAAAGTCTTTATAGGAAAAAAGTCATTTTACTACTTTGATTAAAAATTAGCTTCACATTGCTTACCAAAAAAAATAAAAAAATAAAAATTAGCTTCACATTTATAAAATATTAAAAATTCCGCTAAAGCAAAAACCATGATTTTATATTTTATTTATTTAATATGCGGACTTCGGCACAATGAAGATTGAATCGTGAAATTTATGAGATTCAAGAACCCATTTATAGGGACATTTGTCAAATGAATGAAAGCTGATTTTTTTTTTTTTTTTTTTTGCTTTTGGTAATATTTCCTGTTTATTCTTGCAAGGTCATGAATTTTTACCAATGAATCTCATGCTTCTAATCACAAATCAGGGGTCCCCAATAAATATTTTTCATGGAGCAAAAGAATGACTCAAGTTTGGTATTAAAAGAAAATGAATAACCCAAAATATCTAGTCTTTTCATGTTGTTCTGTCAAGCAAATTTCGTTTGTCTATAATAATCTTTTGTCCGATTGTTTGTAGCTATGATGAAATCTTATCCTATTCCACATGTTTTGTGTTCGACAAATTGCTTGAGCCAATGGTGAATATTTTTATGTACTCCTAATACACTTCCTTCTTGGTATAGTGTTAGTACATCGTTGCCAAGGTCACAATTTGTCCACATGTTACCAAGGAGGAAAGTTTAGAGAAATTATCCAAACTCTTCTTGTATCTCCTTGTCTAGTACTTTAAAGTATGAATTCTGTTTTCTTGACCGCATATGCTTTTGTTTTGCTATTGATGACGAACTAGTTGTTTATTTGGAGTGTCTTTTGTCTTAAATACCTTCATATTTGTGCTGTAAATACACGAGTTATCTATTCTTCCAATACCAATGCTATAAATTTGTGAAAATTGTTATAGAAGTCATTATTGAAGATATAAAGTCTAATTTATTTATTCTTGGTCAAACTAAGTTGCAGGCTTCACCGTAAGAAGATTCCAAAATAAGAATCTTTCAGCATTAATAATGCTGATGTGACTTCTAGAATGTCTGTTTATATAACATTGGCTTGGCAAGAATCTCAAGAAAAATATGATTCCATTGGTGCAAGTCTTCGCAACTCATTTGTGCAGTGTTATGTTCTAGGGACAGAGATGTCTAGTCAAGAGACTAGTATGTTGATGTTTGATTTAGATGCTTTCTGAATCATTGTGCATTGAAAATAACGATATTTACCAAAAGGGTGATA